CTGCGACGCATTTTTAAGGGACTCAAAGTGGTCTGGTCATCCAAGTGCGTGCACCCTTTGCGGGTACACGGAACATGGTGTAAAAAAAAGCCGTATGGAGCGCAAGGATAATGTTTACACAATATAGCGGTTTGTGCCGCACTTAGTGAGCAGTTAGCAACCCAGTTGGTAATTCCCCTGAGTGGGTTGTATGCATATTAAACCCTACCACTTGCTAAGTAAAATTGTCATCCAAGCGGGCGTCATCTTGGCAAAATGAATGTTATTCACTGGTAAATTGCTTTTCGTCATGGTTTCGACATGTTATTGTTTGACCACGTGGTTTTCCTCGGGTTGCCCTTTCGTGCACATGTTGATGCGCATCACAGTGTCCAAACCTTTACCTCCCTTCCTGCTTCACCCCCTCGCCCGGCCTCCCTCCCCCCCCACCTCCCCCACCCCACTTGGTTTTGTCTCAGAATCGGTGAACCCCAAGACTAAGAATGGTTTTGGATTTTTTCTTGCAAGGTTTCCCTTTGCACCAACCCCATTTCAGGTTCAACCCCCTTTAAAAGAATTGTTGACCCAATTTGGATGATGAAGCTCCTGAACGGTAGATGGTGGTTGTATCAACTCTTTGTTTGAGCTCAAAGGGTACCTTCAACGTAAACCACCTGCACATGGATCAAACAGTGGTTTGGGGAAATCGAGTGACCCCTGCAAATAGTCAAATTTGCCCTATTTGTGTTCATGGCGCAGGCGGCAACTTCGAAATTTTCCCCAGGGTTCAACCCCCCTAAAAATGTTTGACCCTCTTTGGATGATGAAGATCACCCCCCCCCCCCTTCTTTGACCAAGTCCCTTCAAAAAACCGCCAAAGAAGAGGTCTGCCGCTTGGGGGACAAAGCGGCCCACCTGGCGCGCTGCGCCTCGCGCCTGGTGACCTGCGAGACCTGCGGCCTGGAGCTGCCCGCCCAGCGCCTCGCGCAGCACCAGGCGCCGGACGCCTTCCGCTGGGACGCGGTGGGTTTGGGGTGGCGCTGCGTGGTGGGTGACGCGTGGGTGTTGTTTGTTTGGTTAGGCGTTTGGTTTGGGGCTTGTTTCTTTTTGAGTCGATGCTGTTTGGGATTGAAGGGGAAGCTTCATTTGGCAAGCAGTTGAAGGGCGGCTTTCGCTGGTTTGTTGTCCTATCCTTCCCTGTGGATGTGGCCACATGTTTGGGGTTGTGTGCTCGAGTCCCAAGAAGTTCCCCGCAATGCAGGCGGAGGAGTTGAATTTTTTGGGCCCCCCTGTGTTTGGGCTGTCTTTTGGGGAACACATTTTGAGTTGGGGGGTCCTCTACAGGGTCTTGCTGCCATGCTCGTGGACCAGACATGCCCCTTTGTGGCAAACTGTGGGCCCAAAATCACCACGGGTCAATGTTTGTATCTCTGACAGACTGTTTGGGTCGGTTGACACCCTTGCCGTTTCTTTTCAACATGAATTGTAAACTCTGCGAGCGTTGCTCGCCTTTGCCATGCTTTTGGCTGGCTTTGAGTGAGTGAGTCGGTACCGAAATGCACTGGTTTCCAAGGGGTGCAGGTTCGCGCGTTTCATGGCTGGAAGGGGGCGAGATCGGTTTCTGGGGACCGGCGGTTGACCGTTTTTTTGTTTTTTGTTTTAAGGCGGAATTGGACCTCTTTCCACTTTTTTTCTGGAGGGGAATGTGACCGGTTTCTAGGGGGATGGGATTTTGCGTCTCCCCAGAGATGCGCCTGAGTTTTTGGAGGCTTCGTGAACTCCTGCTTTTAGGAGCAAAGCGCCTACATGTTGGTTTTGGCAAGCAACACAGTTTTCTTTTCTCGGCAAATCCGCTCAGGAAGTGAGAAGTTGCCGTAAACAGACAAGAAAGGTTGACCGCCAGGGGGGCGGAACCCCACACGTGGGGGGAACTTCTCGAACCGCAGGCCCAGTGCTCGGCCTGGTGCTGCTGCGAGCTGTGCGGGGAGAAGGTGCGGGACTTGGAGGCCCACCTCAACGAGAAGCCGAAGCCTCAAGCGGAGGGGGGACAGCCGGGAGAGCTTTCAACCCCCCCGACGTGGGTCAAAAATGGGGTATCCCCAAGCTGGCTTGCCCTGGTAAAATGGACAACCTGCGCTTATTCTAGTTGACCCACGCCCATATTTGGGCAGCTAAGCTCTTGTTTTGTCTCCGCCGAACCTGGAACGCAAGTCCCTTTTAGAACCCAAAGGAGTCACCAGGTATGGTTGCTAGAGGCAGAAGCATGCCATGTTGGGGGACTTTGGTTGCAAGCGATCTCCCCATCCAGCCAGCCGGGCCCTCCATCTGGCACTGCCTTTCGGATTTCGTGCCTTCATTTGGATGACCCAATCACAGACTCCAACAATCTCCCCATCCTGGACTGATTGAGATTCTTTCAAGCGAAACCGCCCCAGTGTGTGTAGGGGTCAGAAGCCCACCTTGCCTAGGCCGGGAGGCCACTTGTCGCTGATGCTGAAGGATCTCCGAGAGCTGAGGCGACGGGGACTTGAGAGCAGGACAGTCCCCCCATCCAGCATACAGAATCCGGAATCCCCCGATTCAGAACCCCTGGTCGGTTGGAGGAATCAATCCAGGGTCAATATGAGGTACGCAAGGGGACCACTGAGAGTGATTTCCTTTGAAGTGCTTAGTTTCGTTTTGCATGCCTTTTGCGTCACACGGAGTCGCTCCGCATCGGAGAGAGAGAGCTAGAGAGAGAGAGAGAGAGACTTGAAAGAGGATGTTTGGTACCAACTATTTCCGTAACTGCGATCCGGGCTTAATGATTCACAGTTTTTGGGGTAAACCTCTTTACCAGGCTTTGGGCATGTCTCGGGTCAGCGCCTCGTTGAGTTTGCCGGTTCCCCGGTTTTGAAAGACCTGTTAACTTTGATACCCTTTTGGACGAACCAAACGTGGATAGTTGGGCACTGCTCAAACAAGGGTGAGTGTTCTCCGAGGTCGGTTTTTCACCTGGCATTAGACTCCGTCGGCCACGTAGCCGCAGATTCTTGGGCTTTCTTTGCGACCCCAGATCCGTGGCCCGATTGGGCAGTTGAATGGCTTAGCCAGTGCATCCGCTCATCACCATGGCTGGCGGGCCGAGTCGCATGAACCCGGCGGGAATGGTTTTCTCCACGTCTCCTGAAGGGTTTCCCTACTCCAAACAAATGCCCGCTTGTGGGCAGTCTTTTTGAGAAGCGTTTTTTTTTTGTTTTCTCCATGACGAATACCACTGGTTTTAGTCGGGGGTCAACATGATACCCTTCACGTCAAATTTGGAGGGTCCAGCCAGCTCACTTTTCTGAGCAGCAGGCAATTCGCTTGCGATCCTCCCCTTGTTTGTCATCTTTGCAGTGGTCAATTCGCACTGGTCAAGTATTTGCGCTCCAGGAAATCACGAGCTAGACTCATGTTTTGCTCATCCAGAAATTGATGTTCAAGAGCTGGGACCCCTCACACATGGTTCGTGCTTCCCCCTCCTTTTTGTTGGGTCTGCGCCACCCATTTGGCCGCCGCTCTGAAACCCGTCTCACGGACCCGCGGGTTTTTCTCTTGGGACAGGCGCGAGGTCTCGGAGCTCCGGCGCTTCAAGGCCGCGGTGTGAGACGCCGCCTCGAGCCTCGAGGCTGTCGAGCCCGAGTCGAGCCTTCCGATAGGCGACCATTTGGCTACCCGCCAGGCCATGGGAAGCTCCCACTTTGGACAACTGGGTTCCATCTATCGAATCCTCAGAGCTTCCATGCCAGTCTGAGGGAGTCACCGGAAACCCCGAGCCTTCGGCCCGTTTCGCTGCGGCCGGAAACCGCTCGATGGGGCCTTGGGGGATTTTTCCGAAGGCTCGAAGCGGGCGGCTGTCTGCTCCTTTTCCGGCCCTCGCAAAAGCGAGGTGCCAGAAGTAGCTCGGATTTAGGTTGGAAGAGTTTGAAATGCCGAGGCCCTTGGTGAACATGCACCCAATCCAACCCGACTCCTCTCGGATCTATTGAGCTGTGTGCGTTTCCGCTTTACTGACCCGTCCACCAAGCTCCTTGAAGCGCCTGCCAGTTTCTGCAAGCCGAAGTTTCGGACATCAAGTGCCCTCGTTCCATTCTCGGATTGGGCTCGATGAGAAGCCTCAGATGCAGGAGGGCCTCAGTTGCGACTGGCCTCTTTTGGATGTGAATAGATGGCCTGATCCGCTCAAAAGCGCATGGATCTTGCGGCTAAAAGTCTGTTTCAGTGTAGCCTTGGAGTGGGCTTCAGGGTCGCAGCTTCCGAATTTAACTCACTAAAAGTTTTTATTTTTTTGCAAGTGATCTGAAAAGGGCCAGCCCAGAATTGAAGAGACAAGCATCACAAGCTAATGTTTGATGTTGGGGGCCAAACTCTATTCTAATTATTAGGCGTTGATCGAAGAAGTCCTGTTGACTTGAAAAGGACTTCACATTGTTTTTTTTAATCACGTGTCTTCTTCATGTCAGTCAAGCTCATCATCTTAGTGTGAGGTACGCACGTTCGCTGCTCTTTGTCCAGGTTGGGGAAGCACAGGTCCTCCAGAACGATGACAGTTTCATCGTGTCGGGCCCAAAAAGCGGGGCCTGGGATTTCACGCTGTCCGAAAGCACCGAGCGGCCGTGAAAAGCAGAGAAGACGAAGGCTCAGAGCGACTCAAAGGACGAATTGGCCAACCTCCTCCATCGTTTTAGGTAGGGAATGACCATGCCGGTGGGAATGAACCTAGGGTTTCCCTTAAAAGGGCACATGGGATGGTCTATAGGGGTCATGGTTTTGGACATGTGGTTTTTGGTCATCACTTTCTGTGAGTGGTCACTGGAATCCTCTTGAAAGACCTTCAAAGCGATGAAGCAGTAATTGGGATGGGAATCCTACTTTGCGATCACCGAATGGCTTAAGCAAACCAATGAAGGTACAGGATCCAAAACTCTGGTTTGGGAAGAGTCATTTGTGCAGACTGGCGTTGTCAACTTGGAGTTTCTTGCAACCTTCCGCCTTTGGCCCAAGCCCTGTGATGCTGGGCGCGCCTTTACGGCCGCCCGTCCTGGCGTCACCTTCAGCGCGAGCTGCGCCGCTCATGGCGCGGATGCCGCGCCTCGCGCACTTGGCGCGCGCTTTGGCGCCCGCGGCGGCGCTGCTGCCGCTGCTGCCGAGACCCGAGCGCCGGCCGAAAGTGGGACCTGGACCCAGGCCTGCGGGAGCTGCTCGCAGTTTGGCGGTGAGGCTGGGAGCCTCAAAAATCATTTGAGGGGTTCTCATTTGTTTTGTTATTTTTTTTTGTGGGCAATTTTGAGGGGTTCCCCTTTGAAACCAGCATCTGGGTATCTTTGAGGAGTCACTCTGGACGCGAGGTGTCAGGGGTCGGAGCTGAGACCGCTCTACCCGGAGATTGAGGCTAGAAAAACGGGGAGCATGAAGACCAGGGACGGCAAGCACGAGATCTACTACGAGGCACCGTGGTGAGGGTTCAAAGCATCCGCTTTCTTGGGTGTGTTAGGGATTGTAAGGGTTTCTGCTAATCATTGCGGGCATGTCCATGCCCACATAGGGATCTCTGACCGTGGCAACCAGGGGCATGAGGAGACGGAGCTTAGTGGACCAGTCTGGTGTGTTCTTTTTGTCGGGGTTTGCCGCGCCGAAGCAGACCAATTGCTGCCGGTGCAGCAGTAACCAGCCGATCATTTTGAATGTCCCTGAAAGGAGACGAACCATTTTGACCTTCACTCCACGCGTGCTTTTTTTCGTTTTCAACCTCTTTTCCAGACTCCCGAATCCCCCCGCAGTTTTTGTGTTCGGCACCGAAAAAGCCGAAGCTTCGCATTTCGTAGGGGTGGTTTGGATTGGCGGTTTGGATTCGGATTTGGACCGCCGTTTCTTGTAGAGGGGAAATGGCAAGACGCCTCCAGAGCACCAAGCGATTCGGCTCCATCAGCTCGAGTGCCAGGTCTCTGGGAACCCCAAAGGCAAGCCGGCGGTCTTCCTGCATGGGGGCCCGGGGGATGGGTGCAGCCCAAAGCATCGGCGCCTCTTCGACCCTGAGGCCGAAATCCGATCCGCCCGGCGTGTGTCGCCTTTGAGCCTTTTTTTGTTTTGTGTCCAGGGGTGGGTGGGTTGGGGACTGAGTTGGGAACTGCCCGTTTTTGGTTGGTTGGGGCGCCAACAATAGGACGAGTTGATTACTACAGGGGCGGAATCAAATTCGGGGTCAATATGCAGGATACTGTATGGGAAGCCGAACGGAAGCAAGAGGCTAGGGCCCTTTTGTTGAAGACATTCCAGGTTCGCCGATTCTGGCAGCACACCTTTGGCAGAAGAGACGCGCTGAACCATTGCCTCCGTTTTCAGTTGGCTCCTCACCATTGACAAACCCCACATGTTTCTGCACCAGTTCGTTGATTACGCAGGGTGGCGTGTGCCGATTCTGCGGTTTGGGTGGGCGGCTTTTGACTGAAGCAACCTCTCAAACTTTGAGGGAACGGACCGTTTCTCACGGTAATTGTCGTAAACAAAGATGAAACACGTGATGGGGTCAGCTTGACCAAGCCAGCTGCCGAGTTCTGCAAGTGGCTTGCGGTGTTCCCCACACGCCTTTTTCCGACGCCGAGCAAAGACGGCTACGGCAAGTACGAGCTCAGGAGGGGCTTAGCTAGGCTTAGTTCTCCTTTGAACCAAGCTGAAAAGGGTACCCTCAAAAGATTTCGAGCCCTTCCAAAATGAGTTGTTTCTTTTGCTTTCCCTTGGTCGAAGCCCCGAACATGTGTGGTCGCATTTGGCGGTGTTGCAAGCCTCCAAAACAAGCAAAGAACCCCCAACTTCATCAAAACAAACAACGCAGCTCCAAAACCGTGAAACAAATCAGACACGCCCACCTCGAAATATCACCAACACTTTTTCTAACCCAGCACCATCTCCAACGCCCGAACCGGTGCCGAGAGCGGCGAGGCCTACTGCGTGATCCTCTTCGACCAGCGGGGCGCCGGGCAGTCGCAGCCCGCGGGGTCGCTGGAGGAGAACACCACGGAGAAGCTCCTCGAGGCGACCGAAACCAATCGAGAAGCTTCCAAGCTGTGCCCCCGAGCTCCCCGGTGTTTTTTTTTTTTTTTTTTTTTTTCTGAAAGGGGGATCCCAAAAGAGCTAAAGCGTGTCGTTCCTGCAGCTTTTTTCGTACATCCCATGTTTTTTTTGGCTGGGCGGTCCGTACAATCAGAGTTGGTTGTTCCTTTCGTTTTGTTCCCATCCCAAAAAGGGTAGCCGCAAAACAAGGAGAGCGAAGGGCTGGGGTGTGTCAAGACGCCCCCAGAGCTTTTCGCAGGTTTGCTGTTTCTCTTGAAACCAACGCGAGGGTCCCCCTCAGTGGTTTTGCTGGTTCTCGTGTTGATTTCAGGCTTTGCCGTTTCTTTGTCTCCTATATTTTTCTTCATTTTGATAATTATGGGTTTTGGGTTTTGCCTCGAAAGGGACTCCGATGGTGGTTGTCCAATGGTTTTTGGTGGCTTTTACAGGGTTTGTTTTTTGGCGTTTCTTTATGTGTTGAGTTGTTTTTTAAAAGGTTTCTCGATGTTCCCGCTTGTTCGTGGGTGGCTTTGGGTGGCTTTGGATGGCTTTGGGCGACTTTAGGTGGCTTTGGGCGGCTTTGGGGTGGCTTTGGTGGCTTGGTGGTTTGGCGTTCCATGGGTGGCTCGTTTTGTTTTCTTCCTCACCTAGATTTCCAATTCAAGAAGATGCTCCTTCTTGGTTTGCTTGGTTGAAGGGCGACCGAAAAGGAAACTACACTTTTGGGGGGAGGGCGATCGCTTTCATTTGGCAAGATTCATAGGCCGCCCCTCCAGATCATCCCCAAGTTTTCTCATCAAGGGGAAAATTCATAGGCTGCAATTAGCATGTTGCCAACGAACACTTTTGGGCTTGGCCTTCAAAAGCAATCCGGATCTCATCCATCGGCCATCCTCCCGATTGAATCAACCGTCAGTTTGCCACATTCCTGCTTCAGAAATTGCATTTTTATTCAATGAGTCACGGTCATAATTACTTGCTCCCCCAAGACGAGATGGGAGAAATAGAGCTCGTATCCTGGTTTTTCTGGTCGATGTTTAGCGAGTTCCCCCTTCTCATCTCTCCTAAATGGATATAGACGAGCAGAAGCTGTTGACCGATCAAGTGAGTCAAGTATAGAGCTCGAATTTGCCCCCCCCCCCCCCCAACGAGTTTTGGTTGACTACCGAAGAACTTTTTGATTGCCCGGATAAATGAACCCCTGGATCAGGAAAAAAAATAAAAATACACACTAAGGGAGGGATGGACACCCCCCCCCCCCCCCCGTTGCCAGAGGACACCCGTATTTCTTTGGGCGGCCTTCAAACCCTACAGCGCATAGTAGATTATTGTTTCATTCTTTTGTGACTCGGTGCAATGCAAGGGACATACTGTATAGTATGGAGGGGAAGCCCAAAAGAGGTTGTATTCGCAATGGTCCATCAAGCACTGGCTTTGCTTGCTTCTCAGGGTCCGTGAGGGAATGACTCCAAACTGAACCATCCCTTATTACTTATGGTTTTAGGTGCAGAAGAGCGGTCCTTTTTTTGGAATCCGTCCCCAGTTCCCACAAAAAGCCCCGGGTGTGTCTTCTTTTTCCGGGAACCCACAAGGAAAGTCACTCATTCCGTTAAGGGCATCCCAAAAGGTGCATTCCCATTTCTCATGAAGCTTGATTCCCTCCTGAGAACCAGCAAATCTGGAGGGGAGCACTTTTCAAATCAACCCAAACAAGGGTGCCAATTCTTTCTATCCCATGGACATCAAGCAAACGCCTGAAGCTAGATATGTTCATTTTTCCCAGGAGTGTTGCTTCTTTTGGTAGGGAACCTTCAGAAGGTTTTCACGAAATGACCCAAATTCCACCACCCACCTGGTTTTGTCTTTTGACGAACCCCAAAGCCTAAAATGGGCTTCCCTGCGGTTTCCAATTAGACAAAAACCACCAAGTCGAAAAAAAGACCCATTGATGGGAACCCCTCGGCTTGCCAAAAGGCTTCAGCCCCCCTGCGGTTTCGGTTGGCGGACATTTGTCGATCTCGAGAGGACATGGAGCAGCTGCGGGAACTGTTGGGCCTGGAGAGCTGCGCGTCAGTTTAAGAACCCTCCTTGTCAAGTCTTTTCTTTCTTTCTTTCTTTCTTTCTTTCTTTCTTTGAATCTTTAGTTTGTTCGTTAGTTCGTTGGTTATAATTGTTCAAGGGAAACCACTCAAGTTGTGGTTGTTGCTTTTCTTGAGGAACATGTCCCCCCATCCCCGTTCGGTTTTGCTTCTTGAACAAATTTCCAGCTTTGCTTGTTGGGTAAAGTTCAAGAAGTGGCACGTTCTCTTGGACAAAAACGGTCATTTGAGGAAAGCATGGCGGACCAAAATGAGCCATCTCCCTGGAACAATTTGGGAAACACGGCAGACAAGTCACTCATTTCTCCCTGAAGATTGGGTTACCTCTCTTTGGCGCGGCCCATGGGCGAGGCTGGATGCTGGTGGGGGGCTCCTGGGGCTCCGCGCTGGCGCTGAGCTATGCCACCCGCTTCCCCGAGCGCGTCCAGGCGCGTGACGAGATGACTGTGCCCTTTTGATTCTTCGGGTGCTGGGAGGACATTTGTTGCAAGGCATGGAACCCAAAAAAGGTTCCTCTGAGGAGGGTGCTGGGGAGGAGAATATTTGGGGCCAAGTTTGAAACCACATAGATGTGGGCCAGATTCGTAGGGGCGAATGGAAGACGAGGGAAGGTGAGCTGTGCCCAGGGCATGGTGCTGTACTCCGTGTTCGTGCCCAGCCAGGCGAGACGCGCTTGGTGCATGCGATCTAAGCCGAAGGGTGGGCGGCGGAGAACTCCCGTTTCGGGCGACATTTCACTCAGCTGTCCAGTGATACCCTTTTTCCTTTTTTTTTTGGGTGACGGCCCCACTAATTATGGCCTTCCCCAAAAAGGGTTCCCTGTTTTTTCCCAGGGTCACTGAACAACTGAGTTAAGGGAAACTTGCGAAGGTCCGTCGCTCGCGAAACATCTTGACAACCTTTCCTTGCATGCTCGAAACCAATCTTTGGCTTTTGCAGACTGAAAAGCGTTCCATGACTTGCAGCTCATGATGCACTGGCCCGTTTGACCAAGCCAGTATTTTGGTTTTGCCTGCCCGTCAAAGCTGGATACGCATGGGACGCATGTAGCTTACATGCTTTGCATTTCGGTCGAGGTCCGAAATGTATCGAGATTATGGTAAAACTGTTTACTTGTTCGATCAAAAACGGAGGGCGGGGGAGCTTGTGTTGGAGTAGCTTGCAGCCCTTCATGTCACCAGCTTGTTTTTTTTCGTGACCATCTCTGCTTGAGAAGAGCTCTGTGTTGCCTGGCAAAGGAAGTGGGTGCAGCTTGTGAGTCATGGACAAAAAGGGTTTGCCCAGACCAAGAGAGCTCATTGCTGAGCCATCGGGCTCCAGTTCCCCACAAGACCGGTTGACAGCACAAGCGCCGCTGCCCAGGCTTGTGCATGACAAGTTTAGCCAACGATTAAGTGGCATAAAAAAATCATGATCTCGCCGCGATCTTTTCGCCTCGAGTTGCATCTCGAGTCATGGGGATGTTTCTCAAAATAGGGGTCCTCCTTTTCGATGGTGAGGGGAAACCGCCAGGAAATCAACAACAAATCCACCTGAAACTTCCTTGCTGGTGCTTAGCAGGGAATGAGTTGGAATGACCCTTATAAACCATCCAACTGGGGGCTTCTCTAAGGGCACCAAAGCCTGGGTTCATTCCTATCGCAGCGATCGCAAAAAATAGGTTCCCGGAGCTTCCTGTGGCATATGGCTTTGAAACTCGAAACCAACCCCAAAAAGCCACTTGAAGAGTCCGTAGGCAGATCAAAAAACAAAACCATTGGAAGGGGTCCCTTTCTTTTTCAGAAGAAAAACAAAAAAGCACTGGGGCCCACAGCGTTTCCCCTTTCTTCGTCTTTTTTTTTGGCAGAAACGTCAGGAGGCCATCGAGTTCCCCTACAGCGCCGAGGGCGCGGGGCTCTTCTTCCCTGAGGCTTATGAGGCCCTGCTCAGGGCCGTGCCCGTGGAGGAGAGGGCGGGGGCTCGGCGGGCCCGGTGGGACCCGGTGGGACCCGGTGGGACCCGGTCTTGCGGCTTTTCCCCCAGTTTTGCCGGTGCCTGGGATTCTACATGGGCCTGCCTGCCGGTTTTGTTGATGGCGCCGTCTTTTGGTTGGTTTTTTTCAGGGAAGCCAAAAGGAAACCACACTTTTTGGTCCCCTTTTAGACAAACCCGCATTGGTGGGCAGAGCACATGTTGGAGGTCAGTCTCTGTGTCGGGCCTGTTTTTCGACCTGCGTGTGAAAGTATGTACCGAGCCACGGATTTCCACACCAAACATTAGGGTGTCTTATTTCAGGGGACCCCCAAACTGATGGTGTTCCTCCTGTTTTTTTTCTGCAAAGCCACAAAAAGGGGTACCCTAAGACACGCCCACGTTGAGGGGAGCCCTTCGCCAGGAGCGGAAGGACGTGATCGCGGCCCTGGCCAAGCGCGTGACGTCCCCGGACCCCGCGGTGAAGCTTCCGGCGGTCAGCGCCTACGTCTCGTGGCTCGGGCCGCGTGGGAGAGGCGGTCGGCCGGCCTGACGACGCCACAGGTGGTTGGCAGGTCCAGATTTGGCCTCCAGGGGGGCCTCTTTTTAAAGGAACAGGTGATGAAAGCAAAGGACTTAAAAATCGAGGTTCTGCTCCCTTGACGCGTTGCCTTGGTTTCCAACTGGGGCTCCTGCACCCCCCAAATCAAGCGGGCTTTAGTCTTACAGGTTGCACCGCGCCAAGGCAGATTTTCCAGGGGGCGCATTCGCAAATAGAGGATAAGAAGCACCTTTTTCCGATAGAGTTCCCTACCCCCTACCCTTGGACCACCCCCCGTTTTGGATTCTCAAAAAAATCGACAACGTATTCACAACTCTTCAGATCCTGTGTTTATGTCTACCTGGTACTCAAAGAATGAGCGCCCAATACCTAAGACCATGTTCATAGTTGGTTCTATTTGGTCCGACTAGTGTCCTACAATTGCTTGGTGGTTCCTAGCCCTCTTTTCAAGTTTAGTGGTAGTTTCTGCTAAACCGCTAACAATTAAACTGTTGGCAGCTTCAAACCAGTGCCTCCGTGTAGAACCAAAAGTCAACAGCTCTTGGGCGCTGCGCGGATGGGTATGTGTCCAAAACATGAGCGCCTCTAGAATGTCTCCGGTTGTCCTTGTGGCTTCAGTTGAATGAACTTGAAAAGGGCACCGACTCCAAACAGCCAAAATGGGTGAACTTGGTTTACTTAGTTTCCTTTCGACTTCCCAGCCAAATGGGTCTGTCTTTTTTTTGTGTGGGTCCCCTTTTGCGGTTGGTTACGGAGACGCCACAAGGACAACCGTTGCGCCATTTTTGGGATTCCCTCAAACAAGGGCAAACCAACAGGACAACCGCACTATTCCGGTTGAGGGTCCAACCTAAGAAGACGAGGCACACGGGTTCTCCACGCACGAGATCCGCATCGGATCTCCGGCGAAGCCAACGGGCCTCCGGCCTCAGGTGGATCCTCCGGCTGCTGACGCTGACCCCGGACGAGGCCCTCATCGCGGAGGCGGCCTCCAAGCCGGAGGAGGCGGGCGGACGGACCGACGGAGCCGACGCCGCGAGAGACGGGCGGCTTCCTCGCTTTGGGCTATTCGGGGTCTTGCTTAGGATTCAAAGCGAGGGAGGGACATTTTTTGGTACTTGTTTGGTCTGGGTATCTCAAAATAGGGGGGGGGCCGAAAGTTGTTGGCGTCCCTTCGCGCCAAAAACCCACGAAGCAGGGGCCACCATCTTGGAAAAAGGAAATCCTCTTCGGCCCCTCCTTGCAGAATGTTCGGCCGAGTGGATTCCAAGGCACTGAGAGCTTGGGGAGGTGAGCACCGGACGATCAGAAATGGGTGTGGGTCAAAGATAGGTACCCCAAAATGGCTTGCCCTGCCACCTGGAAACGAGGACGAACACCTGCGGTCCGATTCCTGGTGGCTTAATTTTGACCCATGCCCAAATAGCAAAGGTGGGCAGCGACAGCAGTCATGACAGCTCGCCTTGACAAAATATCCCAACAGCCTGCTGTTTTCCAAGCAACAGAGCCCTACAAAAAGGGGAAAAACACAAAAAAACGGTACTGAGGGTGCCCTTTCTGTTGGTGTGCAAAAGGAACACCAAGACGACAAACCACCATTCTTGGGGGTTTCGCTTAAAAAGACACGCCGAGATAGCTTCTTTCCGGCTTTGGCTGCCGATGGGACATCGATTTCCCTTTTGGTCAGTACCTTTCCCTGATTGGCCCAATTGGCACCAGTCGACTCTATCTTAAATAGGGGACTCCCTTTTCAGTCAACCAGGGGTTGACTGATCCACTCACCATTCCTGCAATGGTCCTACTGCAGTATATGGGGCATATTATCATGGCTTCCCACAATAGGTCTTGTAATTCACACATCTTGCCCGGATCGACGCCGGATCGATCGAGGCGGGGCCTGGGCCGGGCATCGAGATGCACTACATGGTCAACAGGCGGGGCGTTGGAGCAGGGGGGTCTCTACACACAGGTGCATATATATATATATATATATGGTCACCCCCCCCCCCCAGGGCCTACCTTTCTACTTGTTGATGAAAGATATTTATTTGCAGATGTTCAGTGTCCACTTGGTTTGCAGATGCCTTGCAGAAAACACTGTAATTTACGGTGGTTTTGTGCATTTTTTGATATTGTCTCAGATGTGCTTTCTGTACTTGATGCAAAACAGGATTCGAGAAAGCAACAAACACGAAAACGGAAAGCGTTTTCAGATGCAACTTTGTCAGTGTTGAAAACACGGTTATTTGCAGTGTTTTTTTGAGGAAACTGCAAAAAGCACCTTTTTTATATGGTTTCAGCCTCAAAACCTGCACAGGCTCAAAAAATGCAAAAAATCCAAACCTGGAAGCTCCAAAACCTGCACAGGCTCAAAAATATGCAAAAAATGCAAAACCCAGATGGTCAGGGCTTGATTGGTCTGGTTTTTTGTATTTTTTTGCATTTTTTTGAGCCTGTGCAGGTTTTGGAGCCTTGGATGTTTAAAACCTGCACAGGCTCAAAAAATGCAAAAAATCCAAACCTGGAAGCTCCAAAACCTGCACAGGCTCGAAAAAATGCAAAAAATGCAAAACCCAGATGCAATGTCAGAGGTCAGGGCTTGATTGGTCTGGATGTTTGCATTTTTTGCATTTTTTGAGCCTGTGCAGGTTTTGGAGCCTTGGGTGTTTAAAACCTGCACAGGCTCAAAAAAATGCAAAACAACCAAACCTGGAAGCTCCAAAACCTGCACAGGCTCGAAAAAATGCAAAAAATGCAAAACCCAGATGCAATGTCAGAGGTCAGGGCTTGATTGGTCTGGATGTTTGCATTTTTTGCATTTTTTGAGCCTGTTTTGAGCCTGTGCAGGTTTTGGAGCCTTGGACGCTTAAAACCTGCACAGGCTCAAAAAATAAAAAAAAAAAAAAAAATCCAAAAAAACAAATCCTTTACTTGTTTCTGAAGAATGGAAGACAGATTGCTGAGCTTTTTCACAGAAGCATCGTGCTGCAAAACTTTCCAGAAGTTTCTATAAGCGTCTCGGGATTTCACTGGCTTCTGACATCACAGCTACAAGAAAAAAAGAGATACTTTAAATGACCTGGTTTGAGCTTCTAGCAGCAGAGTAATATATAAAGGAAGCTGTGTATAACATCAAAGCGAAACATGTACATATATATATATATATGCTCACCCCTACTTTTGAAATTATTAGTTTTTCTAGACTGTACAAGTGAAAAGGTAGGCCCTGGGGGGGGGGGTGAGCATATATATATATATATGTATATATTTGTATGGGTATACTTTGATTCCACTGCCACGTTTCCATATATATAGATAGATAGATAGATAGATAGATAGATAGGTGGACACACACACAAACACATCCACAACTAAAAGAGGAAACACAAACACACACACACACAAGCACAAACAAACAAACAAGAACACAAACAAACAAACAAACAAACAAACAAACAAACAAACAAACAAACAAACAAACAAACAAACAAACAAACAGGCAGGCAGACAGACAGACAGACAGACAGACAGACAGACAGACAGACAGACAGACAGACAAACAAACAGACAGACAGACAGACAGACAGACAGACAGACAGACAAACAAAAAACAACAAACAAAAAACAATCAAAACAATCAAAACAAACAAAAACAAACAAAAACAAACAAACAAAAACAATCAAACACAAACAAACAAACAAACACACACAAACAAACACACACACACAAACCAACAGACAAGCAAGCAAGCAAGGTTGCAAGCAAGCAAGCGAGCAAGCAAGAAAGCAAGCAAGCAAGCAAGCAATCAAGCAGGCGAACACGCAAACGACAAACAAGCAATCGAGCAAACAAACCAGCAAGCAAGCAAGCAAGAAAGCAAGCAAGCAAGCGAGCGAGCGAGCGAGCGAGCGAGCGAGCGAGAAGCGAGAGAGCGAGCGAGCGAGAGAGCGAGCGAGCGAGCAAGCGAGCAAGCACGCAAGCAAGCAAGCACGTACGCAAGCAAGCAAGCAAGCAAGCAAGCAAGCAAGCAAGCAGTCAAGCAATCAAGCAAGAAACGCAGCAGCACCAACGAAACACACACACAAAGGCGCACACAAATGCACAAGCACACAAGCACACAACCACACACACAAACACACAAACAGACACAAACTCGCAAACCCGCAAACCCGCAAACCCGCAAACCCGCAAACCCGCAAACCCGCAAACCCGCAAACCCGCAAACCTGCAAACTCGCAAACACAAACACACACCAACGCACGCACACGCTCACACAAACACACAAACACAAGCATACACACACACAAACACACAAACACACAACACATACGCAAACACACAACACATACGCAAACACACCCACACACACTCACGCACACGCACACGCACGCGCACACGCACACGCGCACGCACCCGCACACGCACCCGCGCACCCGCGCACCCGCGCACGCGCGCACGCGCGCACGCGCACACACGCACACGCACACGCGCACACGGACGCGCACGCGCGCACACGCGCGCGCACACGCACACACACGCGCACACTCACACACGCACACACGCACACACGCACACACGCACACACGCACACACGCACACACGCACACACGCACACACGCACGCACAGACGCACACACGCACACACGCACACACGCACACACGCACACACGCACGCACGCACACACGCACACACGCGCACACACGCACACACGCCCACACGCGCACACACGCACACACGCACACACGCACACACGCACACACACGCACACACGACACACGCACACACACACACGCACGCACGCACACACGCACACACGCACACATGCACACACGCACACACGCGCACACGCACACACGCACACAGGCACACACACACACACACACTCAAAAGCACCCACAGCCGCGCAAACTCACAAAACATACAAATACGCACAAACACAAACACGCAAACACAAACACACAAACACGAGCAGACACACACACACACAAACACAAACACAAACCCGCACACACACACACAAACGCACACACACACACATATTTTTTTATATACACACAGACACTGCATATATACATGGAGCACATATCTCCTTTATTGTAAGTTTCCTGACACCCATGAAGCACCCAAACCTGGCGCAAGTTTGACACGATTATTCACAGAATGCGGGAAGGTTCAAGAGAAGGGGTGCGTTGGGCAGGGATCCTTGCGGCTCGCTGGTTGGCTGGCCGATTGGAAGCATGACCTTTTCCGCCACACCAAATGGAATATTGGTTCAGGATGGTATAAGAACCCCGAAGTGAGGGGACTAACCAAGGGTCGAATGGGTGGACTTTGTCCAAGCTCTTTCAACCAGTTCTCCCTGTCTTACCAACCAAGCCACAGAAAAAGAGGTCTCATCTCTAACACTGAAAACCAATTCTTGTTGCTTCTATCTGCTTTTTGGTTGGGTAGCTTCAAGCGGGACCGACTTTGGTGTCTTTTTCTGACTTGGCAGCTTTGCTTCGGTTGGTTCAAGCAAGAGACCAACGGAAAGCTAAGTTTGCTTGCACCAAGCGCCATCTCTGATTTTGAGAGACACCAACTCCTCCTCCCCTTATTTTCCAGATGCTTCCTGGACGTGGATCGGCTGCTGGGGGACTTGCACCGCATCAGCCATTTGCCTGTGAAGATTCTGCACGGCCGCAACGACCTCATTTGCCCGCCGAGCAACGCCTGGCGCTTGCGCCAGCACTTGCCCCTGGCGCAACTGTGCCTTGCCGGATTGGGGCAAAGGGCGCGCGGGGCTTAAATTGCTCCAACCGCTAAGTTCTGGGGCCTGGCTGCCAGCACTGGCAGCGTCATAGAAACCAGCTGGAAATTCCTATGTTTTTGCTTTGGCAAAAGTAAATGCCGAGAAATGCCCACCGAAACCAGGGGTCCGATTTCCTATGGCCAAGGACCTTCGTTCCGCTGGCCGGGCATTCCTCCTCCTTCGCTCCCGCGCTGAAGTCAGCGATCATCGAGGCGATCGATTCCTTCCGCTGACGGCGCCTGCCGCCCATCGCGCGGAGCCGAAAAAAACAGAACAAACATGGCCGTGGGTCAAAACCAATGGTACCATTTTGGGGTAGGTGAGTTCACCACCCATTCTAGTCTATTTTAGTGGGGATTGGGATGTTCACTGGGGGCTAACCGATTTGGATTTTGACCCATGGCCACATCGGCCCGGGGGAGGGGAATAGTCACGTGCAGAAGTCCTCTCATCGCGTCACGTGTTTTAGGGAACCCCGCAAAAAGGTGGGTTTGCTAAGCCACACAACGGGGGGTGCCCTCCAACAAAGAAAGCCTCCTATGGGTCCCAACCCTTTGGATGGAATGAATTTGGGGCAAGGAACCTTTTCCAGGAGCACGGGACGAGGTGGTGCGGGCACGGACTTGTTTTTGGTGAGCTGTGAAGTGGACTGCCATTTGCACCAGTTCCAGTACCGCCCTTCGCAGGCTTCTCCCCATTACTCGTTGACATCATTTGGATTTCTTTGAGAAAATTTGGGGCGTAGTTCCCTCAACCAGCGTTTTGATTTCCCACGACGAAAAGGAGACCAACTCCAAACATATTTTCCTTGGCCTGTGGACCATAGGAGGCACCCCTCTATTAGTGTAGAACCCCTGTGTTGGGTGGGGTTATCTTTCCGGCTCGCTTCCTTTTGCCCTTTTTGTCAGTTGCGTGCAAGCTTCTCAAAGAAGCAGACGGGTTGTTTGAGCAAAGAGGATTTGATGTTGAACCAATGGCTTCGCCGGAGTCAAGTCTCAACCTCACATGAGTCACGCTCGTCGAATCTTGGGGAGATATGTTTTGGATTTTGGCGGTGACTGCACATGAAACAGAAGAAACTCCACAAGTGTCTTTGGGATGCGGGCGGCCTTTGCCATCGCTTGCTTTTCGTGTATCTTCCATGTTACTTTGTGCTTTTCAAACCGGCTGCGGAAAACAAACCATGAACAGTAAAACATCCAAAACACTAAGAAAGGGCTAAGTGCAAATTTGTGATTGCGCGCCTGCGTGCGTGCGTGCGTGGGTGGAAGAGCGGGTGAGGGGTTTGGCCGGAAGCAGCCATTGCCGCGAGATGTTCGGCCGCAGGGTTTGGCCCAAATTTTGCTGCACTGGACATCCAGTTTCTCAGTTAGTTAGGGGAGGTCGCCGGAGGCCTCAACTTGATCCGAGCGAGCGAGAGTTTTTTTTTCTTATTTTTGTTTGAAGGGACCTGGGGAGCGGCGGGTTCTATCCGCTTTGGGGTGTCTTTCTTTTTCGGGGTGCGGTTCTCTCTTCTTTTTTTGCGTTCCAAGTGTGCATGTTTCGTTTTGCCAGGCTGTTCCATCTCAGCAGCCCGAAGGTCAGGAAGCTTTGTGAGGCGGAAAGTGCGATTGGGGACTGATGGGTGAACCATAGAGTGAGAGGCAGACCGTTGTCACTGTTGCTGCGTGTCCTCGTCGCGAAGTGCGGGGTTCAAAGACGGGTACAGATAGCCCCCTGCGCCCCGCAGAAAGAAAAGGGGGAAAAAACATGAACAAGGAACACGTTTCGACGAACCACGAAGCAAACAATTCTCCAGGACTGCTTCACATCCCAGCTGAACTCGGATGCTTTTCGGAGACTCGGGTTTAGAAGTTCATTGGGACTTTAAGTTAGATTGTTTCCCCGGAGGACAGATCTGAGACTCTTTTCATTTTTCTTTTTTGGCACCAGAGAGATGCCTGCGGGAAAAAGTGCTGAGCAGATGCCCCTCGACTTTGCATCGCTGGGCATCTAAGAGCTCTGAAGAGGATGTGTGTGAAGCATGCCGGCTGGGCACGGTGAAGGCTTGTGTGTGGGATGGGTGGAGGGTTTGAGAGGGTGTGCCTGGGATGAGAGGGTTTGCGAGAGTTGGTGGGTTTGAGATGGTTTGAAAAGTAGAGAACCATCTGGTTTTGCCAGTGGAAAGGACCCCTATGGTCACGACTTCTGCCAAGGGTCCGGAGCTCAACGAGCTATGCCCGAGGTCCTCCACAGCAGTCATGGGGAAGAAACCAGCGACGAAGATGAGTATGGCGGACCTTCGGCGGCATATGGATCATGCCCATAGCCCATAGCTGCGTTTTTTTCTTCATAAAGCTTAGTTCGGTTAGACATGGATGGGTTCCACTGGTTGAGTGTTTGTTTTCTTCATTTATCAAGGCCATCTATTTTCCAAAGGGTGGCCTATGGTCGTGCCTCATATCAAGAACCACGGTGCCCCCTTCGACATGGTGGAAAGCCAAAGACCAATTGCCTGGAGGGGTGGGTGTTCCTTTTTCCCACGTGCTTCCTTTGGTCGGTAAAAGGACACAGGAAGGAAAACTAAGCCATTTCTTGGGGTTTTCCTTATTTTGGGGGGAGGGGGGTACTTGTTAAACGTTGGTTAGCGAGAAGTGGGATTTCTGGGCTAAAGCGTTAACCGTAGGTGGTCGCTTGTCTTGACTCTTAATAAGTATCCACTTGGGCCACCATTTTGGCTCAAGTGGACCTTTTGATCTTTTGTCTTGTGATTTGAAATCTTTCTTTCCCCTACTCTCAAAGCCATGTACGCCCCCGCCTACGCTGGTGCCGCGGTAGCAGAGGCCAAGGCTAAGGCAAAGGCCTCCATGGCAAAGTACCTGGCGAGCCTCGTGAAGAGGGAGGAAGAAGGATGGACCGTTTTGGCTGCTGAGGTCCCTCAGGCACCTGACGAGCGTTTCTTCTCCAGCGCAGATGAGCTGGAGCAGGCCCCCCTTATCCCGGCCAAGCGCAAGGCAGAGGATGAGCCGATGGAAGATGCAGCCCCTGGGGTGGCGCAGGTGCCGAAGGCCCTGACACGCCCCCCAGGGGCGTTCCTGGAGCTCCTGAACCCGCCGGAGGAGGACGTGCCCATGGAGGAGCTCCTGGCGAAGGACGAGAAGGAGCTGCCGATGCCCAGGTTCCCCTCGGCTGCAGCCCGCTTGGAGGAGGCCCGCCTGGATGCCCGGGCAGACGCCAAGTGGCAGAGGCGCCGGGAGCTGATGGCGAAGGTCAAGGAGCAGGCGTCCTCGGAGGAGGATGAGAACCCCGCAGCCCCCCCGCCGGGGGGGAGCGTGTTCACCAAGGCCCTCAAGGTCTCGGAGGGCCTCTACCAGTTCAGCGACGACCAGATGGCGGGCGACTTCCCTTGCTTCGATGCGACCACGGCCACTAGGCTCCGCCGACTGCAGGCCAAGGACGTCCAGCGGCTCCTGCGAGGCTTTGAGGGCCCCCAACTCAAGCAGGGGGGCCTGGAGCGCGTTGTGGAGGCCTTCTACATCGCCAAGATGAAGTACGAGCATGAGGCCCGGCTCAGCACCCCGGGACAGCAGGTTGGCAAGCGCGCTGGCTTGGGGTACGGGGGCCTGGAGAACCGCCCCCTGGGCAAGGTGCCCACATCCTGGATCTGCCCCTGCTGCACCATGCCCTGGGTGAAGAAGGGCGCCACGAAGTGCATGGGGTGCGGCAAGAAGACGGAGCCCATTGACACGGCGACCAACTCGGCCACCCTGGAGATGGCGGGCACGCATTGGCAGTTGACGGTGGATGACCAGGGCAATGCGGTCTGGACGGCGGCCCGGTCCGCGGGTGCCGAAGGCCCTGACACGGACCGGGCCCGCGACCTCAAGCTCAGTGCCTCGGTGGACGTCAGCGAGCTGGCCACCGACCCGATGGCCTGCGAGAACCCGGACCAGGCCAGCTTCTCGGACTTCGTCCCCTCCTCGGTCCGGGCGGTGATCAGGAACTGCCCCATGGAGCTGGACGAGGAGTTTCTGACGGCCCCACCGGGGGAGAGGCCCCCATTGCCAGGCGACAAGGAAGAGGGCCAGGAATGCAGAGCCTTCCACCCGTCTGCGGTGAAGGCCTTCAAGATTCAGACCCGGCTCAACGCCACCACCATCGCCCAGGAGGAGGCCAAGAAGGCGGACCAGGTGGAAGCGGTGGAGCGCTCCGCGGCGGTCCTCCACGAACTTCAAGGGGGGGCCATTGACGGAGGAGGTGATGGAGGCCTGCTCCTGAAGAACCTGGACTTGGACCTCTTCCGTGAGAAGCTGCTGGACAAGCTGGGTGCGGACTGGGGGAGACCCACACCGGAGCTCCTCCAGGCCCAGACCACTGCGGAGGAGGCGAAAGCGAAACACCAAGCCAGACAGGCGAAGGGCTCCCTCGAAACCAGAATGCTCGAGCCCATCGCGCCTCCCTTCAGTGCGTGGCCTAGTGAGGTCCGGGTCGCCATTGAGACTGGGGTCTTCGAGCCGACAACGGCATGGAGGGACTTCAGTATGGACGACCTCACATCCCTCACGGACTCCTACCTTGAGGCCAAGGCGGTCATCTCGCTGGGTAGGAATCCCTTCCCGGCGGCCCTCCTGTCAGATCTGCCGGACCTGACAGGGATCCCCATGCCAAAGGCGGGGGGCTCTGGTGCGGCGCGCCCAGGTGCCGAGGGCCCTGACAGGCCGCCCACCATCCCCCCAGCCTCGGGCTCTGGCGTGACGAGCTCAGGTGCCGAGGGCCCTGACAAGCCGTCCGCCACCCCGGTGGGCCTGGACACCAAGGACCCGGAGGTGCAGCTCTCGGTCCTGCGCTGGATGATGAGCAAACGGGTCGGAGAGGTCCGTATCTTTGCGGGCCGCTGGGTCCGACGACCGGGCCCGGTACACGTCCCGGATTGGGCGAAAAACCTCACCAAGGTGAATCCGGAGGCGTTGGAGAAGGGTACGCATCCCAGGAACCACCAGGTGGGTGGACTCCCCTGGGCCAGGTACTCCGTTGATGAGTTGAACCAGCAGGCGAAGGCGGGGGACCGACCCTACCCTGGGGACCTGCGATCCATCTTTTGGGCTGCCCCCCACGATCCGGATGAGGACTTCCACTGGACGCGCCAGATCTCGTCCTGGACACTCCCAGGCCTACTGGGGATGTTCGGGCACAGCTACACCCTGCGCCAGCTCTGGGGAGTCTGGGAGTCTCTGCCACTGCTGCAGGGCCCTAGGCAGCGGGGCCCGAAAAACAAGGCCCAGAATCAGACCCGCCTGGAGGGCTGGGAGACCCTGAAGGAGGACGCGCGGTGCTTCCTGAAGGAGGAGGGCCTTCCGTTTCCGCAGACAGGACCGGAGTGGCGATTGGTCTACCGGGCCATGGGCAAGGTCCTCGCGGCCCGGGCCTTCCTCACGGACACCCCGGCGGAGGTGATGCAGCTCCCGGTCCAGGACGTGGCGGACTCCAAGGAGCAGATGATCCTGCGGGCGGTATGCGACGAGCGCATCTCGGTCCCGGTGGAGAGCCTCCAGCAGTTCCCAGAGGTGTACAAGGCCCTCATGGACCGCATTGGAGGCCCGGGGGCCCTGGCGGAGGTGAAGGTCAACTGGCGCTGCAACACGAAGCAGTGGTGGGTCGGCGCAGTCCCCGACTCAGTGGCCCCCTCCATCTACCGCAAGCTCGGCTACACCAACGACATGATCAAGCTGATGGGCCTGGACCCCTCCGCCCCTGGGTGCCGGACAGGTGCCGATGGCCCTGACATCCGCCCCAGGGGAGGCGAGGGCGATGAGGGGATCGTTTACCCCCCCATCACGGCGGACAACGTCCACGGCGTGGTGGGTAAGGACTACCGGAAGAAGAACTATCCGGTGGAGATGAAGCATGTCTTCTGGGCGCACATGGAGTGTGGCCTGGTCCTGAGCTCCGTCACCCCGTGGGAACTCATCCCGAAGACAAAAGGGGAGACCCGGGGGGGCTACATGTGCAAGTATTGTAAGGGGTACTGGCGTGCCGGGGGAGGGGGCACCCGCCTCCTCCAGATCCGGGCCGGCAAGGCCATCTTGCAGCTGGTGTTGGACGAGCCGCCGGAGGGCCTCTACAACCGCTGGGTGAAGGAGCGGCTGGAGTACTACCGCCGGGTGGAGCCCTCGGCCCCGTTGCGGGACGTCTCCATCGTGGACCAGAAGGTGCCCAGGTTCAGATTCAGCCAGACCACCCAGACAGGCCACGTCTCCAATGCCATCTGGGAGCTGATTCTGCGGAATCCGGAGGCTGCTGCGCTCAAGCGCATCGATGACATCGCGAAGGGGGCCGCGTGATGATGCGGGACAACGCCATCTTCCGGCACACCATCCAGGACCGCGGCCATCCGGAACGGATGCGCAGCGCACCCCGGGGGGGGGACAGCTGCCGAAGGCGCTGATATCCCCCCCCAGGGAACAGCGCAGGCCCAGACTTGCACCAGGCGAGGAAAATTGGCGCGGCTTGGGCTGATCCGGGGTGCGCCTTGGTTCCCCTCTCTTGTTTGGTTTTCCCTTTTCGGGGCGGCTCCCTGGGTCCCCCTTTTTCCCCCGTTTCCTCCGTTTCGGGGTTGACTTTCCGGGGTTTTGGGGGGCCCCCTGTTGTTTGGTTGGGGTTTGCACCTAGGGACTAGGCCCCCGGCTCGAGTGGATCATGATGATGTGGAGGCCCCGCCTCCCTTCCCCGTTTGGGACGACCTTCCTAGGGGCGCCAACCGCGCTCCAGTTGATTTTGCATGACCTTGGATTTGCACCAGTGCAGTCGGACGGGGAAATCCTCGTGGCGTGCTGCCTGGAATGGGTCAAAAAGGACAAGGTCGCCAACCCGGATGCGGTGGTCTTTGACCCGCGGCCGTGGACACGGATCGTGGGGCTGGCACCTGACGGCAACCACGTCCTGGTGGCCTCGGACACCTACAACTTGATCCTCGCGAGGATACTCGGCTCCCAACCACAACCGCTGGAGGAGGCGGATTTGGAGCTCGCTACTAAGACCCTGCAACAACTTCTGTTTCGTGCGGCAGGCGCCAGGCAATCGCACACCTATTCTCCACTGGAAATGGAACAGGCCATCCGGGACCGCGAAGAGTGGATCCTTTCCGGATCGATTGAGGCCCCGGATGTCCTGGCAGTGGCCAACAAGTGGCGGCATTGGAAACCAGGGAAGATCAAAACCCAATTGCCGACATCTCAGAGAGCGTTGGAACAACACTTGAGGGCCAGGTGGTTGGAACGCCTCCTGGGATACTTCATCC